TATATATACAGTATATAAATATAATGAAATACTGTCACAGGCAGGTTGAAATGCAATAGTGGCCTCAAAAACTTGGATTATAGAAGATGTGTGAATCTTACCAAGTAAAGGTACCAATCGATGTTGCAAAGGGTTTTCCTGTATTTTGAGAAAAAAAAAAAATCAGGAACAATGAAGAGATAAAATATCAAACTAAAATCTAAACTTTGATCCAGAAGTTTTTCCTGACCGTGTCAACAGGCAGCAGTCTGGTGACGACGGGGCTCTGGTGGGGGGTGTTCCCAGAGGACGCTGCTGTGGGCAGAGCCGACAGACTGGTCTGAGACGAACTGGTGGTGTTGGGCAAACTGTCTCCAAGTCCCCTGTCTTCGTCCTCAAAGGGAGGGGAAGCCTTGGTCATCCCAGCCTGAGTCTCCTGCAGCAGTGGGCGGGACTCGGGACGTGGCTCCTCCCCCTCCACACCAGAGTTCTGATCGTTCTGCCTCTCTTCGGCCGTGGCTCCGCTCTCATCCTAACCAGGAGGGAAACGTGTGACGTACTGTCCCGTCATACAGCAAACATCTACGTTAACTTCATAAAACAGGACACAACTTACGATAGGAATCTTCACAATTTCACTGAAGTCACAGCGGCTGGTCGACCCTGTTAGAAACAGGAAAACATCTTTAGGAAGGCGTGAAATCAGAACAACGTTGCGAGGCTACAGTGCTTTAATGGACTCACATGGGATTTCACATGTGTGCTGCTTGAAGACAAACCACCACACAACCAGCAGGATGATAATTATGGTCAAGATAACCAGGCTTATACACACAGGGATCACTGAAAAACACACAAATCAATGATGAAAACACACAAATTTAAAAAAATAAGACATTTTTAACGTTGACCTCAAAGGGTGGAAAATTTACCAAAGTTTGTTGGAGAAGCAGAAGTGGGCGGGGGACGGAGCGTTGTGGTTCCTGTAGGAGAGGGACTCTGTTTTCGGCACACGGTGTTAGAAAAAGGAGTGCACTTCTGCACCTCCTCCTCACCTGGTTTACACCTGTCGGATTACAGAAATAAAACCATGTCAGTTAAGGTTTTATCAGATAGTTTTTCTGTCAGTGGTCATTTATGATTGTCTTTATTATTATTTTTTATTATTATTAGAATGAATTCATAGATTTTCTTTTGTTATGAGAGTGAGTTTGTAATCATTTTGTCTGTGTATAATTTGTTTGTTGGCTCTTTGGCACAGGATGTTGAACAGGCACATGAATACCACAACAGGGTTTTAAATGCAAATTTTGTTCATTAGTGCATCTGTAAGTAAAACCTCATTAAATTGAGATAAGGGGTAGGTTTAAATAAGTGTTCACTTCTTCCTACTTGAGGTGGGCGACACTGGGAATTTTGGTATCGATCCGATACCAAGTAAATACAGGGCCAGTATCGCCGATATCGATACTTTTTAAGCTTCATAATTAGAAAAGATCCAGAAGATCTAGGATAGAATTTCACCAAACATTGTAGGTTACAACAAAATACTTTAGTATAACAATCAATATTTTTGCTTGCCAACAATAAAGCAGTAACAACCAGTTTCCTTTAACATTAGGAAAATAAATCTTTTATACAA